TCTTGGCTTCCCCTCGAAATAATTGCTACTGGTATTTAGCAAGCATTCTCATTCCCCACCTGATAAGATTTCGCCCCGGTGAATGGTGCCGGTAAAAAAGGTAAAAAACAAAATAAAAGTAGGTAACAAAAAAATTGAGGCAGATTTCTTTGGCTGATAGTGAATAATTTTTTAGAACTCGTTTGATTTTTGCCGGTCTTATTGCCCCCGGCTCGATAAGTGCCATGCCAAATTGTGGTTGTAAATTGTGAAGTGTCAAAAAAATATTATAAAAAAATAGAGAGAAGAGGGAGGAGTATAAAAAGCACAAATTAGAAAGCACTTGAGTTGGTCTGATCACTGGATCGAATTGTGATCAGGCGGATGATTAACTAGGGGGCACTTCAACTAGAAGAACTACTACTATTTTGAAGGTGGAAAGAATTGGCTTTCGGGAAGTGAAGAGTAAATTAATATTTTAAAAAATATTAGAAGACTACGTAATATTATTTTTTAATATATTAGAAGTGTGGGAAATATTTTATAACTATTTATTATAATTAATTTAAAAGAAACTAGAGTTTATCTTATAGTTTCTTTAATTTATCACCATTTTTGAGCCTTTTAAAAGCCTTTCTAATTAAACTTAATTCTCTCCTGCTTCCCCATTTTCCTTAATTAAATACTTGACTTATTTATGAGTTGCTTAAAACACACATAAATTAACTTGGACTTGAGTTAATGTAAAAATTCCACACTTGAAAATGTTCTACGCACATGTTGGACTCTCAGAAACATTTTTCTCTGGACTGTTTCAATAAATGTTTCTTCTATTGCCGGATGGATGCCCACAGTTTTTCCTCCACTTCTCAGTATATATATATATTTTTTGGCATTTGTTGATCTTTATCATAGAGTTCCAAACATTTTTTTTGTTCCGTTGGTATGCGACTTCTCATTAATTGCTTGTTGCTTTTGTTATTGCCGGTCGGTGGGTCGGTCGTTCGCGTCAAAAACACTTAACTTCATTAACACTTACATGCCAGATACGAGATATCTGGCCATCAACTACTACTCGGGTCTCTCTCTCTCTCTCTCTTAGCCAACTTTTTGTTTTTCGGCTGCCTTTTCCCCGAGTTTTCTGCTTGGCCACACAAACGCAATTATGAAGTTTTATCTTTGGTTTATATCGTTTCTTTAACGAATGCTGGCTGGCTGGCGGCACATCATCTGTCTAATAAATTATGTTGCCAGGCAAGAGGCGGCTCTACGAGTTTGACTTTGGAGTTTTTGATTAAGTATTTTCACAAGTAATAAAAATAAATAAAAATAATGAATAAAAATACTTGTAAAATATGCTTGAAATTTAGAATGTATTTCAGGGAAATTATTTTGTGATAGGAAGTAAATACATTGTCTTAGATTCTGGTTTATTTTTTATTTTTTTGGCTTAATCTTACTTGATTTCTTAAAGGTATTTACTGTTGATTTTTCTTTACCCTTTTTAATTAAAGGTCGACCACTTGATGGGCCTGGGATCTCTGACTCTCTGAATATTTTTTGTTCTGTTCTCGGCCGCTTTGTTTTGCGTTTAATTATCGCCTTTGTGTTGCTTTTTGGCCTTTTTCAGCGTCTTTTTTGTATTTTTTTTTTAAGCAAATACCGCGGCCTTTTTTGCCGACGATCGTGGCGCCAAGATAAACCAAAAGAACATGTTTTGCTCTCAAGTGGCCGACACAATGGGAATCAATTCGCTGGTGTTGTTGTAGTTGTTGTTGAGTCATCAAGAAAGCATTTTGGCGTCTGATATGAAACATGCCGCCTTGCAAATTAACTTTGGCCTAAGCCACTCCAAACAGATATAGGCGCAAATTGAATGGCGAATGGGGAAAGGCGAATGTGCCCATGCCTCCAGGGGGGAGCAATCGGCAAACATGACTTGCTGATGACCTACAAAGGGGGATTTAGGGGGACTATATATAAATAACATCTAATTTCTTGTACAGAATTTTAATAAATATTGAAAATAATTCAAGAATATTTTGTTAAAAACGAGCTAAGTTTATAGTTACGTTAGTTTTCAATTAAAAACTTTGTTTACTTATCAAGACTTTGATTACTTATAAATATGGTTTTTGTTACCAATTCAATGCCCTGAGTAAACACACACCTAGAAACCCCCATTATACACCAGAGAAAGCTGTGCCTGCTATTTCCCGATGACTTCAAGACCCCTTAGACCCTGGCAACGCCCCGAAAAATACCTCAGAAACCCCCAACCTAAAGCCTTAGCTCTAGCCCTAAGTCATGATGAATTGAATTGGTGCATTTGCGTAATGTGTACGCAGGGCAGACGAAATGAAAATGATTAGCCCCGGCCAGCACGGACCACTCCAATCCCTCCAAGACAACCGCAACCGGGGCCGTGCCCAAGGGCTTCGACTTACCTGAGAGTTGAGGTCGCTGTGTCGAAATGGTCGGCTCGCAGCCTCATGAATTTTCTATGATAAATGGAACGTCACGGCCTGCGGCTTATCTATCAAAAGAAATACATGCTTCGTACAGTGGAAATTGAATGAAGCCTACGTGGCGTATGAGTAATGCGTGCAGAGAGACCCTCTCGTTTTTGGCTCAATTAAAGTGGCGGCTTCTTTCTGGAGTGAATCGTTTTAGGCTTAGTTCATTAGCATATGTATGTCCCCAGGTCCATGCGTTTTTTCTCTCTATATATTATACATCTCCATACCAAATATATTTTATGCTATGTGTAATTTTTGTGTTATCAAGTCGCTGTAGATGCTGTAGATAAAAGTGGCTGTCCAGCTGAGATTTGCATAATTAATTAGTGTGCTTGTGACTGGGCATTATAGTGCAAATCAAAAATGCGCATAAATTTGATGAAAATGTTATAAATTGTCCGTAATAAAACACAAATTTACGAAAAAGAAAAAAAAAAAAGATGTTAAGAGCATAGAGAGCAGGTGGCATTTGATAAAGTTTTGTCAAGTGATTTTTTAGGGGGGAAATGTGAGAGAAAATGAAGACCTAATGGAATAATTTGAATAAATCTTTAATAAACAACTTTTCCCTGATTTTTTAATATATTTTCTTAACCATAATTCGCCCTACAATTATAGTTTTTCGAGTGTTAACTGGGTCAACTCCTGTTCACACCCCCTCTCTCACACTCGTAAGTAAACAATGTCACCACTTTGGCCAGGGACTCAACGACTAGCTCATTTCCCTGGCACTTTGGCTAATTGTCTTCAATTGTCGCCACCTCAGCAACTCTTTTCTCAATCTCCTCGCTCTCTCTAGAAGAAGGGGCGAAAAACACGACAAAAGCTAGGAAAACTGGCGGGAAAACAACGAACAAAGTATACAAAATGGAGACTTGGGACTGCTTTGCTTGCATAATGTTCATGCAATTAAAAGCCATGTCCTGGGCTCTGCCTGGAATGGGGCGGGGTCCTTGGCAAGGACGTGGCGTAATGCTAGCACACAAATGAAAAATGAAAAGCGAAATGAAAAATGAGAAATGGAAAATGGAAAAACCCGCGCATAGAAAGCGTGGCTAAACCGCAAATTTGGGTCAGCAGGCGAGAAGTGGAAATTCTCCTTGGTTCTCCCCTTCATTACTTTTATTTTTTTTTTAAGCGTGCTAATTAATTAAAATGAAGCAGATACAATGGAGCCAAGAATGGATAGTGCGGCCGGAGGACTTAGCGTGAAGCCAGTGAAGTGAATTACTGCCGTGGATGGCGTCGAAAGGGGCTAGTGGAAATGGGATTTATGTGTCAAGTGGGGTTTATGCTGCAGCACTTGGGGGGATGCATTCTTTTTCTTGGGGAAATTTACTTAGGGGAAAAACAAGAAGTTAAATTGGTAAAACACTAAGGAAAGGATATAAATATATTTTTAAATGGTTAGAAGTATAAATGAGAATGCATTTTAAGTTCATTTAGTAAATAAAATTGAATTACTAGTTTTTACTCTCTAATATATGTTTTTCATACATTTTTAAGATCAAAAATACCTTCCCTTTTCCTTTAAAATATTTAAATTACAAAATTCCTTTCTTCAAACGATTGCTGAACATCAAACAACTGGCTGTTTGCAGTCGCATTCGCTTCGCTTTGGTGCGGTTCACGCGTCGTATGAGTAATGAGTAATGAATGAGCCAAAAGGAACCACAGACTGGCGTGGACTGCTCATCTCTCGGCTCAGCTTACGGCTCTCAGCTCTCGACCCAGTGTGGCCACAATCGCCCAGATAATACTGTAGCCATTTCAATTAAAAACGAAAGAAACCAAACCGAAACCGAGACCAACAAAAGAGAAAAAAATTCGAGTAGAAAAGAAAGGAAAACTTTTGAGTACCGCCGCCGCCGCCGTCGACGACGACGACGTCATTAATTAGGAATGCTCTCCGAGCAGTTGCCTTTCAAGTGTCTCGCGGGGATTCAAAGAGATCGGCCTTGAGGGACCCAGGGGGGAGGTGGCGAGCAAAAGGAGGGGCGCCGGCATTGGCCGCCTGGTCGCCATCGCTTTGTGTTGGCGTCGAGGCATAAACTTTAGTGCTGTTGTAATGCGCTTTGTGCAAATTGCAAATAAATTGCAAGACGCCAACGACAGGCCAACAGAGAAAGAAAAAGTGTTAGAATTTGAAAATAAAATGTTAAAAATTATTGAAATAATAATTAAAGTCAGGCAGCCACATAAAAAGGTAGCAAGCTCCAACAATTAATAAGTAAAATATTTATAGCCATGTTAAAACTTTGCCAATATTTTTTGTATTTCTTTTAAATTTTCTATAAATTATATATTTTCCCTTTTATGGATAATTTGTCCAACATTTCGCTCAGTGTCCCACTGCAAAGCCGACAAAGCTGCGCTGGATTTAGATAGCCAAAGAGCGGAGGCTCGAAACAGTTTTGATGCCGCCAATTTCATGCCACTTTGCATTTTAATTAAAAGCATCCCTCTTTATATTCTCCACCCCTCTTTTCTTTGTCGTTGCAGTCCAGGAATGCACCACAGACTCCGAGGAGCTGATGTACCACCAGGTGCGCGCCTCCTCCTCCTGCAGTGCCCCGCCCGACCTGCTGCTGGTCAGCGAACGTGACAATAATATACAACTGCGATCCCCGGTGGTGAATATAATCACAACGCCGCCAGGCAATGCCTCCAGTTCGGCATCGAAGCATCATCATAACCAGCATCATAGCACGCATCCCCACCACAACCACAACAACTCCAGCTCGAATGCCGGCCGTCATCCACAGTCGGGGAATCCACATCCGCAGGATGTGAGCAGCGGCGGTGGCAGCCATAGCAAACACCTGCGCATCAGCAGCGGCAGCAATGGCCGGCATGGCAAGTACTCGAATATGCAACAGCAACAGGCTCAGCCGCAGGACGAGGACGTGGTGGATGCTGCAGCGGCAATGACGCAGCAGCAACATGGCGGTCACAATACACACTCCCGGCATCTGCATCACCACAAGGAGGAGCGCATCCGATTGGAGGTGAGTCAAGTGTGCCTTTATGAGTTATTTAAATGCTAACTAAAACATTTCAATTCCATCATTTCCCATAAACAATTGTTTTTTATAGTTCATTCTGATTTCAATTTCCATTCATTTATTAATGAATTTATGGATTGGATTTGTCTTGGTTTCATCGTTTCATAACACAAATATTTATGAAGTCATTAATTGTTTGTACACTTTCAAGGGGTAGCATGAATTTTGATAAGGGATGTGGGAGGCTTAGGAATTTTTTATAAATTTATTTCAATAAAAAACGTACAATTTAAATTTTATTTCTTTTCATTTTGAAGATTTTTTTGTTAGAATATTTAAAAATAAATTATTTTAGTCTTTTAAAGAATATATAAAACATTTAACCTATATATAGCCTTTAATAATGTATTAAATAATATTTTAAAATATTTTAAACATGTGCTTTTTAATATACAATTTATTTTTGTAGTGTTTCTCCTTGTTCTCCTTGTTTAAATATTTATTTTACCCTCTCTTAGAGCATTCACATCCCCTTCTCTCGATTTATTTTCAATTAGCCAACCCATCGCTTGGCTTATAAATACAGAATGATAAATTAAATGATGTTTGCTTTTCCATTTGCCGGCATCTGACCCCCAGCCAGGTGTTTGGTCAAGTTTAATCAACTCGCTGTGCTTGGCTGTTATTATCGTGTTAGCCGGCACCCCCCACGCCAGCCCAATGTGGCCAACGTTTCTGGCCATAATTCATGACCCACTGGGCACAACGCACATCGACCATAAACTCAACATTTCAATGTGCTTTTAATTAAAATTTCAATGGCTGCTGCTGGCTTCAGCTTCATTTGTTGTTCCAACATCCACCAAAAACACTGAAAACACTGAAAACACCCACACCCCATCCACGGAACCATGAAAATAAAATCGAGAGAAGAGGGAAAAAATATTTCATTAACACAAGGGCGCCGGCAATTTTCCATTACCACCCACTGAGGATGAGCATTCCGTGTTCGGATGCTGTTTCTACTTGTGCCAAAAACACACAAAAAAAAAAAACAAGAGGAGAAAATATCAAAACATTAAAATTCAATAAAAACCATTAAAAGCAAAACAACAAACACGAAAAGCACTCAGGGGCAATTAAAAATCTAGCCAGAGAAGCAGCAGCAGCAGAGGCAGCAGCAAAGGAAATTATATTTATTTATATGCGAACGAGGGGAAGGAGATCAGGGAGCGGAGTATCCCCGAGCTGGATGTTGGATGCTGGGCACTGCCACTTTATCAATGGTAATGGTTTCCCCTCCCCTCAGGTTCTCAGCTCCTGCCACCCGTGATGATGCTGCTCTCTGGGTGCTTCTGCAGCGCAAATTAAATATTTAGTCAAATTATGGCCACAATTTTCGACTGGTTTTAGTGGTCTTGCGTTGCTCTTAATTGTTGTTTTTAGTGGCAGCTGGCTGTGGCTTCTGTTCAGCTGCTTTTTCCATCCAGCAAACTCCCAATCTTTGCCCAACATGTTGCATCTGCAAAAAGTGTTGCATACTTTCGGGTCGAGCACGAAATTTTCCGAGCAATTTTTGTTTCGGAAAGTTTATTAGCAACATTTTTTGCCCTGGCCACATTTTTGTTATTTTAAGTTTGTAGTTTTGCCACTGCATCAGGCTTATGAAGCTGTTAAAAATTAGTGTGAAAAACATTTAGGGGGAGAAGCTATTAGAGAGCTGGAAAATTATGAAAATTTGTGGAAAATAAACAGATAAACATATAGGTTTTTATTTGTTTGAGGAGGAGTTTGGAGATTTAATAAAATCAATATTATTTAAATCCAATTTCTACGTAAAACCCTCTCTAATTCCCCATTTCTTTCTTATTCCAAATAATCAGGAATTCACCTGCGACGTGTCCGTGGAGGGCGGCAAGTCATCACAGCCGCTGCAGTTCTCGTTCACGTTCTACGACCTGGACGGCCACCATGGCAAGATAACAAAGGACGACATCGTGGGCATTGTGTACACCATATACGAGTCCATTGGCAAGAGCGTGGTGGTGCCCCACTGTGGCAGCAAGACAATCAACGTGCGGCTCACCGTCAGTCCCGAGGGCAAATCGAAAGCGCAGCCAGTGCCCAATGCCGGTGTTGGTGTTGGTGTCGCTGCCGGATTCGGTGCTAGCAAGTTGAAGAAATTGCCCACGGGTCTGGCGGCCATGTCGAAAACAGTGGCGGGTGCAGGAGCTGGAGCGGGTGGGGCCAACGGTGCCACTGCGCTAACGACATCCGCCGGCAGCCGCCGCCAGCATCGCTATCGACCACGCAAACTGATTAAGTCCGATGACGAGGACGACGACAGCAACAGCGAGAAGGATGCCATCCCATCCACGGAGCAGCATCAGCCCAGTGGCAGTGGAGGAAAGGCTGGCGGCAAGACAGGCCATCACCATCAGGCGCGGTATCATCAGAAGAACAATGCCAGCCGGCCAGAGCAATGCTGTCCGGAGCAGCACACGCCGGACAATGGTCACAATACCTACGAGAATATGCTGAATCTCAAATGCTGCAAGCCGGAGAGCAGTGACAGGGACAGGGATGTGGTGGATTGCCCAACAGGACAGCGACAGCAGCACCTGCACAGCCACCAGCAACAGCAGCAACAGCGGCAGCAGGACATCTACATGAAGCAGGCCACCCAGCGGGTGAAGATGTTGCGGCGGGCGCGCAAACAAAAGGTAGGCACAAGGTAACGAGCGAAATCATAACAAAAACAAATCAAATATTAAACCAAACTAAAAACAAACTGCTGCCAGATTTTAAAAATAACTGAAGAATGTAAATAGAAAACTAAACAAGTTCAGAAAGCCACAAATGCATTGCTTAATTTGGCTTTAAACTTTGCTTAATTTAATAATTAATATATTTTCAAATTAAAAGTATTCTGGAATTCAAAAGTGAACCTCCAGAAACTATCCTGGCAGCAGCTACCCAAACCCAAATCCCTTCTCCTTCGCCTTTTGTTTTTGTTATAATTTTTGTTGCTCACTTAATGCGTTTTATATATGTACTTTATTGTTTTCTTGACTTATAATTTAATTTTATTTTCTTTTGCTTATTTTTTGGTTAACTCATTGCCATCAATCAGTATCAGGATCACTGCCTTGAAACGCGTCAGCGCAGCCTCTCAGTGGGCAACGATTCCACCTGGCAGAATCGTCATCTGCAGCAGCAGCAACCACAGGCAGTGCAGGCCTCACCCGCCCAGCCGCTGAACCACAAGAGTGTCTCGGTATCGCCACCATTGGGTGGTGCAGGTGGTGGTGGTGGTGGCGACCTTATGCTGGATGGTGTGCAGCTGCGTCAGCCGCGCCCCCAATCTCTAACCCACCACCAGCAGCAGCAACATCAGCAACAGCAAAGGAAGTCGGCCGAGTGCTGGAAATCGGCGTTAAATCGCAACGATTTAATTAGCATCATTAGGGAGAGCATGGAGAAGAATCGCCTGTGTTTTCAGTTGAATGGGTAAGCCAATCCTGCGATGAAATCCACCCCAAAAACTCCACAATGATAACGAAAGGAATTAAGTCGAACGAGGCTAGAAAAGTCAACCATAATCCGAAGGGTAATGACACCCCTAGATGGTGGCTGGAAATTGTTTTAAATAAATAATTAAATATTTTTCATTATTGTTAATCATAATTAAATATCAGTTACTATAATGAATACTTTATTTAATTTTTAAAGCTCAAAATTGTTTTCCAAATTAATCAAATGATACAATATTTTACTTTCTTTACAATTTTAAACTTTATGGCAATCCCCTTAACACTTCCAGCTAAGAAACCCCCACTTTAAACCTATGATTTTCCCACCAATTGATGGCCAACTTCCTTTTTTTATGATTTTGCAGAAAACCCCAAGCCAATGTGAGTCCCATACGGCAACCGGCAGCACAACAACAACAACAGCAACGCCAACGCTGCAATACGGGCTCGAAAATACCAACGCTAATTGCCAACCACAGCCCAGTCGCCCAGCAATCGCCGCTCAGCTGCAGTCCACCCACAGCGGACACCACCTGCATTCCAGTGGCGCCACTATCCAACGAGGTCAGCGCTGGCCATCAGCAGCAGCAACACCAGCAGCAGCAGCATCACAGCCACCACGAGCATCCCCAACCGCACATCCCCATCTACCACCAACAGCTGGCCATTAATCCGGCCGTTTTGGCCGCCCAGCAAACCCACAATACGGCCCACAACAAGCTGAATCTATGTGGCTACGATTCCTTCCTGCATGCCACCATCTGCGGTGGCGGAGCAGCCGCCCACTCGCCACCGCCCACGCCCAGCAATGTGGCCACCGTTCAGCCCATACCCAAAAAGAATCAAAAGAACCTGCTGCAGGGTTACCAGCGACTGGACCAGCAGCAACAGCAGAAGGAACAGAAGGAGCAGCGCAGCAGCAAGGACTACAGGAACTATGGCAATCTCATCTATGCCAAGCTGAGTGAACAGTTGCAGCAAAAGGAGCGAGAGCAGCGACGCCACCGACACAAGCAGCAGCAGCAGCATCAAAACCAACTGCTGCAGGAGAAGCACAAGGAGCCGGAGCAGGCGGAGCAGCGTCCACCCACCTCTAACTCCAGTTCCGGTGGTTCCAAGATCTATGGCGATGCCCTGGAGTGTGCCCATCTGTTGGCCAGCGAGGAGGAGGATCTGCCACCCAGTCCCCAGTTGACTAGTACTCCCAGCAAGGTGGTCAGCACCGATACCCTCATTGACCTGAACGACGACGTGGGCGAGGCTGTGGCGGAGGCGGTCACAGAAAGCGGCAAACAGTCGCTGGAGGCGGAGGAGGGTCAGGCCCAGGAGGTGGAACTGGACACCAGTGCCTCCAGTTCGATGATCCACCGCTATGTGCATGAGCACATCCACCATCACTATCACCACTTCAAGGAGCAGCAGGATGTCTAGGCTAAGAAGAGAGGGAGGGAAACGCACACACTATAAACTATTTGAATGTTGCTTATGTTTTCAGTCTATTGATTAATGTAGCGCCAATTGTAATTTAAAGTTAGCCTTTATCAAACTGCAAGACAAGGAAAATAATATTTAAAAAAGGATATTAAAAGGCCGCAAGAAGCGAGGGTGGAGTAATGAGTTTGAAGGGAGTGGTGTCTTTAAAACCCCAGAATGTTCAATGATTTACCTACAAAATAATTATAATTTTATTTTCAGACCCAGTATAGTTCAGATGTATTATTTTTAAAAACTAGTTTCCCTTTTTGATCTAGAAAATCCAATCTTTTCCAAACTCATTGCTTCATTCTCGCTTTGAAAAATCTTCAGAACCAAATGAAACACTTGAACTCGTTGAAGATAAAGCTCACTGTAAAATCGAAATAAACCCGGTACATAAATGTAGCCTCTATAGCTTATTCAGAAACAAAAAGAAATGAAAATTTATGCGCCTTTTGCCTTAGCAACAATTGAATCGCCGCTTCGCTATGCTAATCCACTAGCAGCATGTTGCAGCAACACATATCACAAGCAGCGCTGGCAATATGTTGCACTCAAAGCATTTTGTGTTTGCTGTGCGCGCGTGTAAACTAAATGGAGGAATAAAAAAAACTATTGTTTAGTGCAAATTATTAAATGAAATTGTTGTCTATGATATAAAATTTTATGCGCCGCTTTTTAAGTGTTTTTTGGAGGGAGAGCAGACAGGAGAGCAATTGTCGTTGGCCGCCAGTTTTAAGTTATAACTATCGATCGATCGTGTATATTTATGTTAACTAAGCCAATTAATTTAAATACCACCTTTAGTTTTTAACACTAACACCAAGCACAAGACAAGCAACAATGCAACTAAATACTAAAACCCAACAGAACCAACAACAAACACACAAATTGTAGTTCAATTATTATTTAAAAAACTTGTTTTTAAATTCGTCATCTGTCAACCAATCGAAGTAATCAATCCAATCAATCAATCAAATCAAGCGAAAACAAGCACAAAAACAAAATGCATTTAACTCTTATTTAAATAAAAAAGACTGATTTCCAATTAAACAATATATATATTAATTAATTGCATATGAATAAAAATAAATATATTGATAAATACATATAGACAATTTATGAGAAATACTAAATAAATTATTGAATTTGCTAAAATGGAAGTTATAATGGGTGTTTTATTATTAAAAGTGTGGAAAGGGGAAAACTCTACTTCTAGAGTCTAAAAAAAAATCCATAAAAAATGTCTGGTTACATATAGATACACATATATCTAGATAAACATTTAGCCATAACAAATATATGGCCGGCAACCAACAAATTGGACATTGTCTTGGCCTTTAGGCAACACGACATAGAGATCTAATTTTAAATCGTCGTGCGCCATGTGACAGAGATGTGGATGTGCAGAGCGATCTGAATCCGCTCGAGCGTTTATTTTTTGGCAGCCGACAGAGATGGAGACGGAGCCGGAGACACAAAAGAAAATGTTCTCGCAATCAGATCGCGAGTAGAGTCCGCAGACAGAACACTGAAAATTGTTTTCCCCGTTCTCAGTGTTTTTTCAAACGCGGGGCATTACGCAAACAGAGGGAGATTTATTGGAGAAGAGATCTTTTCAATGGCTTCTTCTTCCACTTCGCTGACATCCTGCGCCCTGTGCCAGGCTAGAGCCTCCCAGTTGTGTGCCGCCTGCAGGAATGTGGTCTATTGCAGTCGGGAGCACCAGAAGGAACACTGGAAGAAGGGTCACAAATTGGAATGCAAGTGCTACGAGGTGGCCACCAATGAGATTTTGGGCAGGCATTTGCGAGCCACCAGGGATATCAAAATTGGCGAGCAAATCCTGAAGGAGGCTCCACTGGTTCTGGGTCCCAAGGTTGCCTCTGCAGCCCTGTGTCTGGGTTGTCACAGGAATCTCTTAGCTCCTGGTGGTCAAAAAGGCAACTACTACAAGTGCAGCTCCTGCAGTTGGCCTCTGTGCGGTAAGGAGTGTGAGAACTCCCCCCATCATCAACCTGAATGCCAGCTCATGAAGGGCAGCAACTTTCAGTCCAAAATTAACTATACACCAGGAGAGGAGGAGCGCAAGGAGTCTGCTTACTGCGTGATTATGCTGCTACGTTGCATGCAACTCAAGAGCAGGGATCCCGAGGGTTTTGCAAGACTCTCCGCCCTGGAAGATCACCTCAGGGAGCGGCTGGAAACTCCCCTGTATCAGGTGCTACGAGCCAACCTTATAACCTTTATCAAGACTGTACTGGGAATGAGGGACTGGTCGGAGCTGGATATCCTACGCATTGCGGCTATTTTGGACACCAACACCTTCGAAATAAGACAGCCCCGGGAGAGGAGGAAGATTCGTGCCCTCTTCCCGGGAGCGGCTATGATCTCGCACGACTGTGTGCCTAATATGAGGCATCGCTTCGACGATGAACTCAACATAGTGTTTCTGGCCAAAAGGAAAATAGCCAAGGGTGAGATCTTAAGCATATCCTATACCCAGCCGCTGAGGAGCACCATTCAGCGAAGGGTACACCTGAGGCAGGCCAAGTGCTTCGATTGCTCCTGTGCCAGGTGTCGGGATCCCGAGGAGCTGGGCAGCTTTGCCGGGGCACAAACGTGTATAAAATGCAAGGCAGGAAAGGTGAGCGAGGAGCTACTTGAAAACTAAGTGGAAATTATTATTATCAAGAACTATTTTTATAGATCATATCCTTGAATCCTTTACAAAATGCGGCCAATTGGAAGTGCCAGCTGTGTAATGTCAAGAGGTCAGCCAAGGAGGTGCTAACTGTGGATAATCAACTGCAACAGGAACTGGAATCCCTGGACAAGACCACCCCTGTATCTCTGGAGGATTTCATTTACCGCCATCGTGCGGATCTCCATGAAACCAATACCCATATCCTGCAAGCCAAATATGCTCTTACTCAGCTGTATGGTAGTGCTCCAGGATACGCCATGGAGGGTGAGATAATTAAAATAAAAACTTTTAAATAAGATAATATTAAAATACTTCTCCTTTAGATTTATCGGAAGAATCACTCACCAGAAAAGTCCAACTCTGCGAGGAGCTCCTTAAGCTAGCCGACATTTTCGATGGTGGCTGGAGTATATTTCGTGGCAATCTTCTCATTGATATGGAGGAAGCTCTAGTGGCCCAGGCGCTACGCTTGGAGGAGCCCCAGGAAGTCGAGGAGAAGCTCAGACAGGCAGCAGAAATGCTAAGGGAAATCAGAAATATTATGAAACATGAACCGGAAATGCAACAAGTACTTGTAGAACGTCAAGTAATATTGAATTCGGCTCTAGAACGCTTTGAAGAAGTCAAGGATTAGAAATAAAGACAATTTTTTCTATTGTTTGCTAAAAATTTATTTCTTTCTACTTATTCTATTGTTTGTTAAAGTTAAATTCTATTTTTAAATTTGAATTAACCGCGAACTTAAAGTCCATTCACAATGAATTGACAATGTGACCAGCTAATTGCGTATGGATTTCCTAAAAGAGGGTTGGTTTTTTATTCTTTAAATAGTCGACGGCTACACTAATTTGGCATTTCACGTGTTTATTTCTGTTTATATTTTTAATTTTCCCTTAAAATAATTAAAAATGGAGAGTTTAAGCACAGAAGTTTCAGCAGAAACTACCAAGGATACAGCAGAAGTCATAGAAAGCAAGGAAAATGTACAGGAAAAGGAGAATGTAGCTGGCAAGGAGGAAACGGAAATAGCCGGCGACGAATTTGCCTACTTGGAGCGCAATGAATTCACTTCGGAAATATACAAAATCGAAGTGAAAAATATGGGTTATTTTGGTATTGGTGTAAGTACTTTTCTAACTCAAATAAATATAAAACCTAATACTCAATTTACAAACCTTTTCAGGAGTTCAAGAAGCTCTTAAAAAACACCCTGAAGCTGGACATGACCAAGATTAAGTCGCCGACCCGCAAAGAGTTTGCCTTTGTCTGCTTTCGCACCCAAGAGGACCAGCAGAGAGCACTGGAAACCCTGAATGGCTACAAATGGAAAGGCCGAGTACTTAAGGCCCTGGCAGCCAAGGCCTCCGCCGATCCCCTACAGAAAAAACGAGCTGCCGAAGACCAAGGAGTGGAAGGAAAACCCAAAAAGCAGAGGACAGCCGTTGAAGCCACATGTCCTTTGGCGGGGATTCCCTATGACCAGCAGCTCAAGCAAAAATCCGAGGAGATGTCCACTCTCCTCAAGAAATACACCCAAGAGCTGAGGAAGATCAATCCGCGGGCCAAGCCGCATCTGGACAAGTTCAAGTTCCAGGAGGTGCTTCCCTCTCCCACCGTCCAGGGTTATAGAAACAAAAACGAATTCACCGTGGGCAAAAACTCCTTGGGCGAAGTCGTTGTAGGCTTCCGGCTGGGCTGCTACAGCGATGGCTCCGTGGAGGTGGCCGAGGTCCAGGATTTGCCACATTTACCTGACCAAGCCAAGTGGGCAGCTCGGAGTTTTCAAGAGCTGGTAAGAAAGTCCAAATTCCTGCCCTTTAACCCCGATGGCAATGTGGGACACTTCCGGCAACTGATGGTGCGGTGTTCAAGCGCCACAGGTGAACTTATGCTGGTGGCGGGCATATACTCCTCCAATCTGACTGCAGAAGAACAACAAGAGCTCAAGGAGGAACTCAAGTCCTACTACGAAAATGTAGAGGAAGGTGCTCCCTACAAATGCACCTCCTTGTACTACCAGGATGTCAAGCATCGAGAGGCGGGGCAGATGGTCAATCCAGTGGATCACATTCTGGGCAGCACACATATCACAGATACCATTCAGGGTCTTCAGTTTCGGATCAGTCCCTTGGCCTTTTTCCAAATTAATACAGAAGGAGCCAATGTCTTGTATCAGCAGGCCATTGACTTGGCTGCTCCCACAAAGGACACCACCATGTTGGACATTTGCTGCGGCACTGGCACAATTACCCTAGCTTTTGCCAAGCATTGCAAGAAGGTTTTGGGTGTGGAAATTGTTCCAGATGCCATCAAGGATGCGGAGTTCAATGCCAAAGCGAATGGTATTCAAAACTGCAAGTTTTTCACGGGCAACGCAGATGATTTCATCAAGAGCATGGTGCGGGAGGCTCTGTACGAACAGGAACCAGGAAAGCCAGTAGATCTCATAGCTGTGGTGGATCCACCTAGGGCAGGATTGCGTGAGTTTAAGAATCTGAATTTGTAGGGTTGTTTTTACATTACCTTTTTACCATTTCAGATAATCGTTCCATAGCCGCCATCCGCTCGGCCAGTGCCATCAATCGTTTGGTATATGTCTCCTGTAATCCACACAGTGCCAAGCGTAACTTTATAGAGCTGGCCCGGCCAGAGTCCAAGGCTTATAAGGGAGAACCCTTCTATCCCAAATCCGCTGTGGCCGTGGACATGTTTCCCCACACCACGCACACGGAGCTGGTCATTCTGTTTGAGCGTGAGCAAAAGACAAACCCAGATCAGGAGAAACCTCAGGCAGAGGAGGCAGCCAAAGATAAACCCACAGAAGCACCCACTGAGGCAACCACAGAGGCATCAATAGAAGCACCCACAGAGGCATCAATAGAAGCCCCCACAGAGGCACTGCCAGAAGCAATTATCGAGGCAAACATTGCATCCGCAACGTGACGTGCTTTGGGTACGGAGTGCAGGGTACAGTCTCATCTACAATCTCTCTTGCACACTTCTGTATAATCTCGTAATCTTTCAGGTCAGTTTGCGGCGCCCAACACCAACCAAGATGCCTCATTACCGCTTATCTGCCGCCATACTGCCCTGCCGTCTATCATTGTTCCGCGCTCTCTCTCTTTGTGGCCGGCTGACTCGGATTTTATTGTTTTAAATTGATTTAATTGTATTTACGCTGTGCGACGTGGAGGAAGCAACAATAGCGACAAAAGCCACTTCCTATTTAGCCTCAGTAGACACTCTAAGTTGGAAGCCCCGTTAAACTCAACGACATCTGTCATCCTCATCCCCATCAGTTTTTTGCTGGCCTCCGGAGGCAGAGCCTCTGTGCCTCTGTGTGTGATAAGAATCACTGATGATATTGCAATCTATATTATCGGCAAAGGTGTAGGCAAGCGCGTGACAAAATCAGTGGAAGGTGCTGCTGCTGCTTGAAGTAAAAGTCCAACGCCCCTTCAAGGGCGTATAACGACCCTGACAGCGATCGTTGATCATCAATATGTCGGAACAGGTACGAGATGCTCTAAAGTTTACTAAGTTTAAGAGTAGAAAATGTAGGTTCTTTGATATGTTAATTATCTAGAAGTTATCTACGATTAAATGATATTTAAATTTGTAAAAGAAACTTTAATTCTTATTATAAAGAGAGTACTTTTAAAGTATCTATACAAGCCAGGTTGATTGATTGTTCAGTTTGCGGCTCAATGAAATTTGTTTACCTAAACCCAAATCGTTGGTAAACACTTGCCCGTTTTTTGCTTATTTTGCTGTTGTTTTTCCGGTAACAAGGTCTACGTAGAAGCTTTTTGCTTAGTGATGTAAACAAAGCACTAAACAAAATGCAATATAAGCTAGAAAATATACAAAAATATTATTGTTTTGTAAAAGAGAACAACAAGCAGGCAAACGTGACCGAAATCATGTTGGATAACACAACAATTTGGGTTCTCTGAGTATTTCTAGTGACTTTACTTCCTAGAAGGGGCGCGTCAACATCAACATATATCTCTATCTATAGTGGGAAAACAAGAAATAAGCTTTTGCAAAATAACAAACAAAAATTCATTTAGAGCAACTTGATTGAACTTTGGACTCTATGAGGCGGTTTCGTCTATACAGCAAAATGATTATAAAAACACAAATAATACGGGAAAGAGCTTCGCCTTGTTTATAAATCAAAACATAAAGAAAGTGAACAAAAGGCAAGACATTTGTATTTTTTTCTCTTATATATATTTATGAGAACTGCGCCTAGCAACCATCCAAAATTATGCGATTACGATCGACACACACTCAAGACCTTGACCGAAGAGCTTTGCTTTCGAAGCCCCAAAAAGCTTGAATAGTTCTTATCAAACGATGTAAACAAACGACGAGGAAAACAGCCAAATCCCCAACCGACGGAAACCAGTTTTCCCCCCTAAAGAGAGAGGCTATATCTGAGAGAGAGAGGAAAGCTTTTTGACCGGATACCCATTCAGCTTCTTGGTGAGGCTGCGGCATCCATGGCGTGGCGAGGGCCCGGCTACCACGACTACGCCCCACAAAAGCAGACTGAAAAATAATAAAAAACTTTTCACGTGCGCCACAACGCCGCTGCCGACAGCTGCACACGACCAACACGTTTTCTCAGCGTATGGGGGATACGGCGGGTCAGGGGATGGGCCTAGCCTCGCCTCGGTCTGGGGCTGGGGTTTTGCTCCGTTCCCCATGAATCTCTCGTGTTGTCATCAAACTGGAAGCTTTTCGATTGCGTGTTTTGCCTGAGCAAAGCGCCAACTATACACAGAGCGTTAGAGGAGTTTTTTTTTTAAGTTGGATACCCTGATGAAATAGAGGATGTACGAAGTGATCATCTGTGTGTAACTAGGGCAATCTTTGAGTTTTATATGTGAAAATTGGTATGCAGATAGTTATGGGTATTTATAGGATATATATGCAATGTTTTTCATTATTTTCATCTTTTTAACAAAAAAAAGTCAAGTTAAAATAGTTGCCTTATATCTTAAGATGTCCATCTGGGTATTTTCTGAACATCTTCTGGAGAAGTATTGCAAATTTTATAGTACAATATTTTTTGTTAAGTACATGAAAATGATTAAAAATATTGTTGTTTTATAATTCCTTTATAAAGGCAATAACCTTATAAAAAGGTGAATTATTTTTCTCGTAAAAAGGCTATAAATTTTGCAATCTGAACCCAGGAATAGCTAAAAACAATAATTAAAACAGGAAGCATAATTCTGTTATTTATATTCCCAGTCAATATTTTTGATAGGTTCCTTTTCCTACTAATAAATTAATAAATAAAAGGCAGCTAAATCCCATAAAAATAATATTGATGAATCTCAGTTCTTGCTAATTATTTTCCGCTGATTAATCGCCGGTCCGCTTTCCTCTCCTGTCGATCGAGGGCATTGCTAATTCGATTAATCTCCATGATTTCTGTATTATCTGCTGTGTGTTTCTCTGTTTTCCGTTTTTTTTTCTGTATTTTTTTTGTATGAGTGTTTTGTTGCCCGTTGGTAGAGGCCAACAGCATTTCGAATAAAAGCCCAAGCCTCAACTGTACCGCCACCGGACTGAAAACCAAAACAAATCGGCAACGGCAACGTCGTCGGATATTATTCCTACGTCGCCACCGCCGCCTTCGTCTCTCTGTCTCTCGCACAAAGAAAACGGGCAGAGTGGCGAAAAAGCTCGCTGGGCGACTCATTTCGATAAAAAGAAATCGTTTAAATTGCCCGCACAACAAAAGCGCCTCAAACAGTTGCGACTGCAACGTCGAGTTGTGACGACGGACCGTCCACAGTGTCCTAGTTACCCAGGAATTCATCAGGCATCAGGCACAGCCCTCCCCCCAAGGATACCAAAACATATAATCAAGCAAACAAAATAAAATAAAAACAAAACAAAAAACCAAAACAAGTACAAAATGCTTGCCTAGCTAGAGAGACTAAAACATTGCGCATACGCCGCATAGTGCAAACTATATAAATTAACTGTGATAAAAGTTGAATTTTCTTCGTTCTTCAACACCAAAAAAGCAACAACAACCTCTTAACCTAACTCATTTGTGCTATAAACAAAGAAGCCGAAGAGTCAACCAGCCAAAAAATGTCGGTACCCATGCTGCTGACCCCCATGGAGGCCCAGAGTCCGGATGAGCACATGCAAAATGTAATTACCCTTTAAAAAATCGAATTCATTTATAACAATGTAGAATGTTATGACTGTTGTAAGGGGCCCAGTGTTGGGGTTTTGACATTTTCGGGGTGTCTGAAGGTCGATGCTGTTGTCATCGGACATTAGCGTGTCTTTTGCGACGTTTTTGTTTATGCAATTTCTGTGGGTATATCACAAAAAATCAATACTAGAGCAAGGCGGCAGAGTCAAGGGGTACAAGTACAGATATATTATCAAGTATATTAGCTATTGAGTACAGAAATAATTGCCAGCTTGGAGAAATAGTCAAGTGGGTTACAGAAACTGTACAAAAGGTTTTGTACTAAAAACAGTTATTTTCTGGTGATTTTTAAATTGATTTATTTAGAAGTTATACAAGCTGAAATGGGTAATGATTTCATTTCCTAGAAAAGCTATGACATTTGTTTTTGAGTTGTGTTTCCTAAAATCATTTATTTTCTTTAAAATGTAAGCCTTCCCTTGAAGCAAATGCCACATGTTGCAAAAAAGAGGGGGTTTCTACCCCGACTCACGTGATTTAAGGTTGTTTTCTAGAGGGTTAAGCTTTCAAGAGGTACAACTCTCGCTGGCCAGCTCAAGTGGCTCATGTTTTCGATTAGATTTCAGCTTATTAGCCGCTTGAGGGCTGGCCATAAACAAGCAAACAAGATCTGGCTAATATATGATACCTGATATTACACTTTACTTTGACTGATAACAAGTCAGAGCCACGAAGCGAGCTTTTACTATAAATAAAAACCGAAAAAAAACGCCCCACAAAAAACATGCCAAAGCTTTTGGTAGACTGAAATTTCCCAAAACAAAAAACATATGGGCAAGTCGGAGAGAAAGAGCTTGGTTAAAGAGCGCCTGCGTTGAAAACACGTGAACTAATGTTTCGAAATCAAGGCAAAGCTCCTTATAGCACACAAAAATTAGCATAGAGTTGAGAAATATTCAGTTTAAAAACCAAATTCGGTCAACATTAAAATTCAACAGAAAGCTTTTCCATGCTGAGGCGCGATTTTTTGGTTCGATTCAAACGGTTAGTTTAGTTCCCTCCCCCGCAGAAAATCACAAGGCTATGCTAATTGTGCCAAGAACGTGGAATCGCTAGGAAATCGCACAACAAAACGCACCGGCTGACGCAAGTCCGTCGAAAATAAATAAATGCGGAAAAGCTTGTACTACGCACACACACAGCCAAAGAAAACTATAATAAATACAAAGCGATTTGGTAGTTTTGTGTAGGAGAAGATGGCAACAACACGCGACTTTTCGTAGTTGCAATTTGAAATGTTGCCAAGGCAGCAGCAGCGGCGGAGGAGGAGATTTCCGAGACTGTTGCTCTCCTCCGCCCAGAACACATAAATCTAGTGAGCCTCGCCAACACGTGCCTATTATTTCGTTATTAAATTTTGTGATTATTAAATTATATGGGTTCGCTATCCTTATATAAACTCTGGCCATTACGAAAATATTTAGTGCCTGGTTGTCAGGGGCTCGTCGGCAGATATTGCATCATCATCGATCGGGAGCACCTGAAATGGCAGCGGTACCAGCGATCTTTACACCTTCAGTCGTCATCCAGCGATTTGCTAGCGTTTCGTTCAAAGGTAAACCGCTGTATATCTAGCGGTTTTAAACGCGTGCTGTTAGTTGCATATTTTTGTAAAGCTTTTAAAAAGAGGTTGTGCAGGTATTTGGGTTTTTTTTTAAATATTTAGAAAATGTAAACCACACTTTTAAGCTTTAGAATTTGATAAATATTAATTATTAAATTATTTAAAATTTATTAAGTAACAAAATAATACATATTCTTTCAGTATTTCTCTTAAATTTTTGATTAGAGAAAGTCTTAAAGTATAGATTTTGTGTAATCTTATTTTCCTTTTTACTATCTCTATAAATTATCAAAAACTACTTTTTTTCACAAAATTTATAAATACTTTAATGATTCTGTTTTGGAACAACAACTAAAAAGATTGAAAAGAAAACAATATGTCTATATTTATATTTGCCTTCCGGGGTTATCTATTTGACAAAAGCTGTTAAATATGTTTGTGTTTCTGGTACAAATATTACGCAAATAATATAAAAACAATTAATTTACACATATATACCTCTTTATATTGTGCTTCGATTAAAGTCAGTCTCAGCGAAATTACTCAAAAAATAAAACAAATTGCTGGACGTCAGTTCAACTCTGCTCAGCGGGCAAATAGAACGATTACTTGGGGCGGGGCTCCTATATAGTATATATATATAACTCATTTTTAATGGCCCGCAGTCAAGCTGATAATCGAAGCTCTGATCTTTAGTCGAGTCTTGGTCCAACACGTGATCTTGTTTGCGCCTCCGAGATTCACGAGCACGGACGCGTCTTTAAACGCGTGCTTATCGCGCGAACCTGTTTTCAATTCTAATTTGAGAAATCGGGAGCTACAGCGCTTCGGGGAGGGGAACCGGGCTAGCCGGGTGGGGTGGGGTGTGTGTGCACTGGCAACGCCTAGAGAAACTTTATCAGGGCGAAACCGAATACGAATCCAAATCCGAATCCGCAAGGGGTCAGCGAGATTAGTCGCGCAGCAGGGAAGTCTACGCGAGTCTATTTATTAACGATCAGCTCCGGCAGCGGGGCTTTCAGTCGGTGTCTGGCCTCCACTGCAGAACCAAGCCAGGGCCATGTCTCGGACTGTACTAATATTCCTGGCTGTTGCCTTGTTGTCCTTGCAGTGTGCCGCCTTCGCGGATGGAGCCGCCCTCGTCTATGGAACGGGTAATGAGCTGGAGTCCGCCGCCGCCGCCTGCAAGCCCACTTTGCGGGAGTTCAATGTGCGTCTGGAGTTGCCGTTGGACCCTGAGGAGCGTCTGGGCCTGACCGGTGATGCCAAGGCTCTCGGCGAGTGGCAGCTGTCCAGGAGCGTGCCGCTGGAATCACTGGACGAGCTCAACTGGCGGACCACAGTGCCACTGCAATCGTGCCGGCAGCTGGAGTATCGCTACTTCGTCTACGTGGAGGATCGCTCTGGCTACAAGCAGATCCGTCGCTGGGAGACGCATTTCAAGCCCAGGTCTTTGGGACCCTGCTCGGAGCTGCAGTGCAGCCAGCTGGATGTCTTCGGCATCACCAACGATAACTCCGATCTGAAGCCACAAGTGCATCGCGGCTGGCTTAACCACGAGGTGATCCTCCAGCTCAAGTTCAATGGGGAGAAGATGTTCCAGGTCCACGACATTGAGACCTTTGATCCGCAGCATGTCCAGCTGAAGATTGTGCCCGTGGAGCAGACCGCCGGCCTCCAGGTGGAGTACACAAAGCAGGAGTATGGCAAGAGTCAGTTGGACCAGCAGCCCACCTTCGGGGTGCCATACACCAAGGGTGACATCATTATCTTCCACATCACCCTGCCGCTGGAGAAGATGATGCAGCAGCATTTCCGCTTGGAGTGCTACAGCATGAGCAACGAGCTACTGGGCAGTGCCAGCCTGCTCAGCGCCGATCTGACGGGCAGCGAGGGCCTGCTCCACCTGCCCATCAAGTCGGCCAAGGATGCTGAGGAGACTCTGGCCAGGCTGAGGCTCCCCTATGTGGTGGTTCAGCCCTATCGCTATTCCCCTCTGGACTTCAAGACCACCTATGCCCACTATTGGCCCCGGAGTTGGCCCAGTCTGGATGTGGGTCATCGTGGCAACGGCAAGAGCTACATTGCTGATGCCCCTGCTGAGAGGGAGAACACCATCGCCTCCTTCCTGAGTGCCCACGAGCACCATGCGGATATGATCGAGTTGGACGTCCACTTGACAGCCGACGGTGTGCCCGTGATTTACCACGACTTTGGACTGCGCACAGCTCCACCTGGCAAGCAGATCAGCCGGCCGGATCAACTGGAATACGTGCTGATCAAGGACATCAACTACAGTCTGCTGAAGCGGCTGCGCATCTTCTCTGTGATCGCCGGCAAGGTGGTGGAGTATCCCTCCCACAACGCCGAGCCCCGGCCCGAGCATCGCATCTTCCCAACGCTAGTGGAGGTGCTCGTCCAGCTGCCCAAGTCCCTGGGCATCGATGTGGAGATCAAGTGGCCGCAGCGTCGTCAGGGTGGAGGCTCCGAGGCGGAGCAGACCATCGACAAGAACTTCTTCGCCGACAAGGTGCTCCATCAGGTGATCCAGAACGGTTGTGGCAGGCCCATAATCTTCTCCAGCTTCGATGCCGACATGTGTACGATGCTGCGCTTCAAGCAGAACATCTTCCCGGTCATGTTCCTCACCCAGGGCGAGACGAAGAAGTGGCAGCCCTTCCTGGATCTGCGAACGCGCAACTTCATGGCGGCCGTCAACAATGCCCAGGCCTTTGAGTTGGCCGGTACGGCCCCACATGCCGAGGATTTCCTTGGCGATAATGCCCCGGAGATGCTGCAAAAGGCCAAGGATCTGGGACAGATAGCCGTGATCTGGGGAGATGACTGCAACTCGAAGGAGCGGGTGGAGTACTTCACCCGGATTGGGGCCACCGCCACATGCTACGATCGCAGCGATCTCTTCATGCCGCCGGCAAAGCAGGAAGCCTTCTTCAAATCACCGGCCCTGATGGCCGAGTTCGCGGCCCAATGCCGGATCTAAAATGCAAAAAATACAAAACGGGCGGGTAAATCTAAGCCATAATTATAATCTTTAAGCTTGTAAAGTTAGTTTGTATATTTATTTAAACACAGGGGCGAAAGAGAAACGTGTGAGAAGCTTTAAAGTGATTTTTGGTTGAGCAATTTCTAGTTTCAAACGGAAACCGAAACAGAAACCCATAAATAAAGCAGCCGTCATTTGGCATAATTAGAAATGCAAAAAAAAAGAAGAAGATTATATATGAGGAATCCCCCACAAAAAATTAAGTAGCACCCGACAAAAGACAATGGGAAGAAAGCGTAGAGCTGAAAATTACAAAAACACATACACCTACATTACCTGCTAATAATCTATCTATACCTCAAGTAAAAAAAGCAAGAAAAAATACTAATAAGCTAAAACAATCTTAACTACATGAAAAAAAAGGGGGGAAAATGTATTTTAAAATGATTTTATGTGAACTATGTAACACGCTCTTTTGCGATTTGTGCAAGAGTAACTAGTTTATACAAATTAGAAAAATATTTTATATATATATAAATGTTGTAAACTTGATTTCTTTCGTGTGTTTAAATGTCTTTCTTTTACGAATCAAAGCTATGAATATAAATATCTGTATTTAAGAAGTCGCTTGCTTTTAACTTCAAGAAAAAGAAACTAAAAAGCCATTTGATATTTTTATCCATATTTAAAATCAATAACAACACACAAAAGCAAAAGCAAAAGCAAAAGTGATTGAAAAAAAATCGTATAAAAATAAAATCACACAAAATATTTTCATAATATTTTCAACAACAGCAAAACCAATCGAATGACGTTTTACTCTAAATAAAAAAAGAAATTCTCTGGGTCCCATGTCCAAAGTTGTATGTAAAATTCGATCCGCTTACATTTGATGGCCCCGTGACGAATGTAAAAAGGCAGCCATGAAAATGCTCTGAGCCCACAAACACAAAACACACGACGACCCATAAACGGAAAAAAGCGGAGAGTGGGCCATAAAAAAGGTTTGGCTGCAAGTCAGGCCTAAAGCCCGTTCGCTTTATGGTCAATTAGAGAGCAACTCATTTGCATTTTAGCTGGGAAATGGCCAAGTGCGAATGTCTCCTGGTTTTAGTGATGCTGCTGCTGGGCACAACTCAAGCCTGGAAATGCCTCTACGAAGAATTCAACTTGGATCCCGAAAAGGTGGGAAAGATATTCTAGAATTCCTATAGAAATATGGCTTGATTTGTATTTTATTTGTAGATGAAGGGCGGCTGGTATGTTTATGGGACATATCCGGAGAAGATTCCCATGTGCTACTTTGAAGATTGTAAGTAAAGCTTGAGTATTACTTCCATTAAAATTATTTATATATTTTCCCTTCCTCCTAGTGGATCCCTATTGGACGCGAATCACCCAGACAGACTACTCTAGCTACGCTGTGGAACTCCATTGCAGCCTGCCCTGGATGCGTCCCCAGATGGCCATCTATACCCGTGCTAAGAGGCCCACAGCGGATACCCTCCGCGAGATAGATGCCTATCTGCAGAGTGTCCAGCTCACCAGAGACCAGTTTATTCTTATCAGAAAGACAAGAGGCTGCAAGAATGTCAAGCATAAACCCCTGCAGAGCTGGCACTTGTCCAGCTACACGTATCTCAAGTACCATCCGCATAATATCAAGCCCTTGATAAAGAATCCCAATATCTGAGCCACTCTTTCTTCTCTCTCAGTTGGCTCCAAACTTTCTTTACCACGAAAATTTACATATGCAAAATTTGGTAAAAATATGCGAATGTCTCTGCAGACCGACCCTGAAATGCTCTGCAGAGCAATTAAAATCGATGCTATCTCGGAAATTATGAGTAATTTTGAATGGGTGCTTAAGCAGCGGGTAGAAAATAATTTATGCAGTGAAAGGTGGCCCCCAAATGAGACCCAATTAAAATTCTTCCTTTTAATCTCTCGATCACTTTTTAATGAGCTTCAAGCCCGATTCACGCTGTCATCGCTAGAACCCAGTGGGAATATCAACTCAATTAGCGGGATGCTGGCCAATAAGCCAGAGGGAGGGTATCTTCGATCTGCGATCGCGCAGCTGATCCGATTCCGGACTCCAATTTTCGACGAAAACAAAACGGAGGTGAGCTTCAAGAAATTCTTTCATTCGGTTGTTTGTCATCGTCGGGTCAAGTTGCCTCTGGATCCGCGCTGCTCATCATTTTCATTTTCGTTTTCGCTTTCTTGGCATCTCGGTTCGATTTATAAATTTTTGTATTTTGGCCGAAAGAGAAAACTCGTTTCGGTGGCGCGAAGATGGTGGTGCTGGCTGTTTGGAATGAGGAAAAATGTATCGGTCTCGCGAGCGGTTGAATGTGTTAAAATCAATTAGCATACTCTGTGTTCAGCTGCAGCTTCTGCTATTGTGCGGCGGGACCTTTGTGAATGAGACGTCTGTGTTTGGACCTGAGAAGCTGCAGGCCTTCAAGATCTTTGACGATGAGCAGCAGCCCCAAATCTCGGCTCGCAGCTTCATCTGTGTTCCCTTGTTTAGGGTCTTTAGTTTGGAGCTGGGAAACAATATCCACCTGGCAGCTGATGAGTATGTGGCTGTGAGCGGGGATCATCCCGCTTTGGGGTCCTGGCAGTTGGACAAGGCTATGCCTTTAAAGGAGCAGGATAAAGCCCGTTCAAAATGGTATCTCCGCCTGTGGATATGCGCCAGTCAGAGATTCTATTACCGGTATTTGGTCTACTCCAAGAATGCTGAAGGCAAGCGTATACTGAGGAGCTGGGAGGGTCAGAAGGTGGCCCGAATGCTGCAGACCTACGAGATGTATCGCTCTCCTGGCGTGGATATTTATGGCGAGGCATATCCCACCTCGGTGGGTGGTGGCTTTCACCTGGAACGCGGTTGGCTGCAGCATGAGTACGTCATCGAGCTGAAGTTTGTGTGGCAAGATCACTTTGTGATATCCGGCATTTCGTCTAACGCCAAGTACCGACTGACTTTGACGCCTCTCAATGTGATGGACGACACCCGCATTGAGGTCTCCAGATTCTCCTACAATCACTCTGCCTTTCGGGCTCAAAGCCAACAGGGGGTGAAGTACATACCAGGTACTGCTCTGATCTATCGGATATATCAACCGCTGGACACCTACAATGCCTTTCGCCTGTCGTTATATCAAAGCAACAGGGATATCAAGCTGTCCTTGGGTGAGGCCTACATATTTCCCGAGCAGATAAAGGGCAGTCGTGGCATCTTGCAGCTCCCCATCTTTGCTAGCCTTCAAAACGTGGCTATTGGGGAGGTTACCCTGCCTTATTTAGTGGTCCAACCCATGCCCAAAGTGGAGGCGGGAAATCTACGAGCAAGTTTTCATCACTACTGGCCGGATAATTGGCCCACATTGGACGTAGGACATCGGGGATTGGGAGCTAGTTACTTCCAATCTTCAACAAGTTTCACCGAAAACACAATAGAAAGTTTCCTGGCAGTGGAGCAGGCTAAAGGAGACATGGTGCAGCTGGATGTGCAGCTGACCAAGGATTATGTGCCAATTGTATGGCATGGATTTGGATTTTATACCTCGGAGAGGGATCAACCTATAAGAGATCGCTTTGACTTGCGTTTTGTGCTCATAAGGGAACTAACCTACTCCGAACTCAAGGCCAGTAGGGTATTCATCTTGAAGCGTTGGACTGTCAAGGAGTACACGCACCTCAATGTAAGGGATCGAAGTCAGAGCCAAAGAATATTTCCTAAGCTATCAGAGGTCTATGAGGATCTGCCAAAGAATCTAGGACTCCTGGTGGAGATCAAGTGGCCACAGCTGATGGCCTCGGGTGTCCTGGAATCCACGCAGAGCTTGAATAAAAACAACTATGTGGACAGGATTATACAGACAACGATTCGTTATGGTTGTGGACGTCCCCTGATCTTTGCCAGCTTCGATGCGGATATATGTACCATGCTCCGGCTCAAGCAACACGTCTTTCCCGTGATCCTGATGAGCATAGGCAAATCAAACATTTGGGATCCCTATATGGATCTAAGGACGCAGAGCTATCAGCAGGCCGTAAACTTTGCCCAGTCTGCGGAGATCCTAGGCACAGCCTTGCATGTGGAGAACTTTCAAAACAAGCAGCAGTCGGTGGAACTGGGATTGAACCTGCAGCAAGTTTTGTTTTTGTGGGGCAATGATCTGCAGAATGTCCATCTTCTAGAGCAATTTCGGGCTCTGGATGTTTCTGGGCTCATCTACGATCACATGGATCAAGTGGGTCCATCTGCCTGGAAGAGATCTGCGTTCTTTCGAGCTCACCAGCTGCTGGAATTGTTTGGAGCTCAGTGCGTGGCAAGTGGAAACTCAACCACCATTCCAGGCGTGAAGCCCGCCAAGCCAACCATATGGCCAAAGTTGAGGTAGTGTGGGGGTAGGACTAGGATATTATAAAATGTAATAAAAATGAAAGGATAAAAGTAAGAATGGTATAAAAAATAATGTGAATTAAGGGATAAGACTAAACAAAATCTAAAATGTGAAGAAAATATGAGGATAAGAGTTAGAAAATTATGAAAAATAATGAGAATAAAAGGGTAAGGCTAGCAAAATTATAAAATATAATGAGAATGTTAGGATAAGACTAGGAAAATTATAAAATAATAATAATAAATAATATTATAGAGAAGAAGAATATTATAGAGAAGAGCGTAGAGAATCGTTATAAATACTCTTATGAGAATAAAAATTACCCAAAAGTTGGGATCAGTATTGAATGATCATAATATTTTTACCATTTTAAAATATAAAGCAAAATTTATTGATAATAAAAAACATTTGCAGCGTTTATATAAGAAATATATAAGAAGAACGTTAACAAACCTTATTAAATGTATTTATAGAAAGCTATTTAAAATAAATGTATATTTCAGATTAATATCCTAATAAAAATAAACAAATTTTCAGGGCTAAAAATATTTATTTCCTTAAAGTTGCAATAGGAAATTTAATATTTAAGTGTTTCTAGTCAAAGCTTTTGTGTTGGGTGTAAAAATAAAACTATGAATCTTGTTGAAACTGTTTACTTAAGTAGGAAATTCTTTTAAAAAGTAAATAAACCACAATTGTAATAACTTTCAAATATACATAACGCTTGAATATTCTCTTAAATCAACATTAAATAATCATTAAGCTGTAAAACCCTAAGAACGATCTCATAATAAAGTTATTAAAGGAAATGTAAACATTGAACTGATTTATTTTAGACAACTTCTGCTTTTCAGCATCGCGCATCAGGTAGTCGTGTTCTCGTTATCCCTCAAAAATATAAACTCGCACACACACATACACGGGAACATTCAAATCAATCAATCAATCAAACAGTGCGGAATGAAGGTGAGCCGTTTGTTTTTTTATTGAGCAGAGCAGTTGGCATCGGTGTAGACAGCCATATAGTCATCGGTGACGCAGGCACTGCCTATAGGCATCGACTGGCAGATGCCCTGCACCTCCTTGACGACCTCCACATGGCAGGATCGGTGTCCATGGGCTGAGAGCTTGTGGAATCCACTGCTGGTTGGATGCTTGATAATCGTCTGCGGCTTGTGGCTGCTCCGGTGCTTGGTGGGTGGTGCAGGCTCAGGATCAAAGGTCAGCCAGGCGGGCGGCATCGAGTGCTGAGTCCTGCCCGATGCCTGATCGCTAGTCATGTCCTGGTCCACCTCCAGAGGCAACTCCACGCCATCTACGTCCTCGTCCAGGGCAAAGGGAAATCCGCCCTTGGATTTGCCATCGCTTTCGGTGCCCGGCAGCTGGGGAGTCAGCAAAGCGTTGGCAATCAGCAGAGTGGTGGCACAGTGGAGCAGCAGATGCAGTGGGGCCATTCTACCAACAGAGTCCAGCAACTGGAATCCCAAGTACTCCTTCCTGGCACCGGCTACCGTCTACGAATGTGGCTGGCACGGCCAGGCCGGCGTGCTTTTATAGAGCAACCCGACATCCGGGGGACAGTCAATGACCCAACAATTGAAATTGAAAAGAAGCCACTCAAGGAGGAAGCATCCGCCATCCGGCATCGGGAGAAATCCCAGCAAGCTCTAGTCCATCCCCACCCACGCGGTCACAAAAGGGCGTAATTAATTATAGTTGAGTATACGCCACGTAAGCCGCAATGACAAGGACGCCCTGCGGTGCTTCCTCCCCGAGTACCAAGGGTGCCGAGAAAATTGGAAATCTATTCCCATTCCGATTGCGCTCAATCTCTTCCTCGATTCCATTTGGTTTCGTTTTGGGACGCCGCCTTCCTTTTGTATTTCCGGCAATTATTTTCGACGATGTGACAATATTGCCGGCAGTCACAGGACCCAGATACCAGAATCTCGAAGAGGAGGAGCTGCGGTGTGGCTGGAGGGAGGTGGGGGCCTTAACGACTTCATAAGCATCTCATCCAATTGAATTCAAATGCAGCAGGAAAATAGAGAACGAACAACAAGAAAAAAACACCCGCAGACAGAATCAACGACAGCATTTAGCGGAAGTGAAGCTGACGCCATTTTTAAAATGGCGCATACGTGTGCGACGTGTTTATGGCAGATTTTTCGGATAAATGACATGACAGACAGCATCTGCCACTGCCTAACAAGCCAACTCAATAACAAGCTGCTAAGATAGAAATTTTCCAGATAAAAAAAGTGAATTCAGCTCAGACCATGTGACTGGCCGTGATTTAGCCAAGTTATTTTTTGAGGTACTTAAATATATATAAGCTCAAGTTGGGGCTATAAACTAATTAAATAAAAAAGAGTAATTTAAGAAATGCTTTTTAGATAAGGAATTTAAATATCTAATAAATATTATATACTTTTATTTTCTATATAAATTACATCCCTCGGGAAATCCACAGTCACATTCAAGATCATCTCTAATGGAAACATTCCTTGGGGATGGCAGCACGCAGGATGAATAGCTAAGGATAAGGAACCGAAGGACGGACTAGACAATGCCAACATTCGCTGAATCATTAAATTGTACAGCATATCCAGGCAGAGCCTGGCTACAAAAAATATGGGCTAAGGCGGCACGTGAAATTAATTTAAATGCTCTGATTGCGGATGAATGACATTTGTTGTCGTCGGCATCGCCTGCCGTCGCTTTGCTTGTTAGCAATTCAATTCGGTCGTAATAGATGGCTGTAGGTAGGTAGGTAGGTAGGTCCTTTTTGGGCCGACGACTAGCTAAGCAGCTTAACCCTACCGCGGTTCACCTCAATTTCCCAGTCAAGGCGAGCTAATTAAACGCCTTTGCCGGTGCCAATGTCGATGGAGATGGAGATGGCAATGGCGATGCCTTTGCCCAACTAATTAGAGCAGCTGTCACAGATGAAGAAGGGTCGGATGCCAGGACGAAAGCCAAGTCAGTACAAATAATTCAATTAAACTGTTCACAGCAACAACAACAACAGCAATAGAAGCTGGCAAAGTGAGAAGACAAACCGCAGGCAGCCACAGAAGCCGAGGCATTTCCCAAACAAAACCACCGTGTCGAGCCAAAGCCAAAGCCAAATTCAAAGCAAAAGCCAAAAGCCTAAAGCCAAAGTTAAGCTAAAGACGGCTAATGCAAATATCCCGTTTGAAAAATAACCGCAAAGCTGAAAATTCCAAGTAGATATTGACAAAGACAAGGAGGCTGCAGGAAAGTAAAGGCAAAACTTAGATTTAAAGGTACAACATTTAAAATTACAAGTATATAAGGTTACTGTGGCTTTAAATTTAAAGCTCATTAAAAAATGTAAATAAATAATTAAATGTTTTAAAAAATTGTAAACAGAAAAACCCAAGAAAGACACATATTATTGCAATAAATATATTTGAAACTAAACTTCCAATAAAAAAATGTATACAAATTGAAATAAAATTAAAAAGCTTGAAGCAATAAAAAAATATATATTCCCCACAACTTTTTCAATGAGTGAAATTGCATGTGATTGTATTTAAAAGGGCGAGAGAGAGGAAATTGAATAGGAAATTGAATTTTCACAGCGTTTTATTGCATTTAAATCAAAAGTTGATTGAGGCTAAATGAAAAAATGTGTGTTTGTGTATGCATATGTGGAAATTGCAAAAAAGTCTAAAAAAAAAAACAAGTAGAAAATGACAACAATAATAAAATTGATTAAAATTAAATTAGCCACAATCTACTTACTGTGTGCTAAAATATTATTGTAAATACATTAAGGCATTATTGTAAATTAAAATCTAAAAATCTGTGTGCTAAAATATTATTGTAAATACATTAAGGCATTATTGTAAATTAAAGTCCAATTAGAGGATTACAATATGGTTTTCCATTAATAAAGCAAAGTTAAATTATACTTGTGGCAGAGATTATAAATATAGATTATGTACACACTCAAATTGAATGGCAATTAAAGCAAAACCAAATTATTATCAAATATATACGAAAAGTTTAAGTACAATATCATCTCCCTTGGTCCGCTTTAGTGGGCCTAATTAAGGCAGCTTTAATGGCTTACTCCCCAGACAAAGGCCATCAGGTTTATGGTCGACCCTTTAAGCCAACTCAACTGCCTCTCGACGCCTTTTGTTTTTCGGGGGGCTACAAAGTGCCAAAAACCGGGTGACAAAATTTGCCAGCACCCTCTCAGTCCGTTAAGGGTAACCTGCTAAGAACCATTTGTCCGCCAGTGACCGGGTCCCTGCTCTCCCTTCGAGTCTGCCCTGGCTCAATTTAATCTTTGACGCGGCGAAAAATGATGGAGCACGGACAAGTTTTTGGCGCCGGCAACGTTTTAATTTGCATTAAAACGCGACGCGACTGGAGTTGGCAAAACTCAGCGCAGCTCGAGCAACTATTAAACTAAACTTACAACACGGTTGGGTTATAAGTTTTTCGTTCTCGCGATTCGTGAGCTTGCATACAAATGGGGCTCCAAATCGACGGCAGCAGCCCCAAGGTCCTCTGCCGGAAACACCCACCCATCCTCCCACCTTGAGGCCCTAATAATGCCAGCTTTTTGGCCACAAATCAAAGGGGGGGTGGGAATGGGAATGGGGAAATGTGGCCTAAGGGTCCAACAAGTTGTCGGCTTAGCGTGTGGGCCGTTTTGTCTGCCCAGCGGGAATCATAAATTGTGTGATGAGGCTTAGCTGCCATGAAGTACGGCCGATCGGATGAATGATTTATGCTAATGCCGGGGATCGGTGGGGAAACTTTTAGAATGGAAAAGAAGAAATGCAGTTTTAAAAAGGACATGGTAAAGTGTCATAAAAACTATAGTTAAGCTATTTAACTTTATTTCTTTCTTTACAAAAGAATTTCTAAAGAACCTAAAATGACAATAAAATGCTTATAGAGGTTTTAAAATATTTTTAAAAGCTTAAATAAATAATTGTCCTATTATATGTATATTTATTGTTAATCTAATAGTTTTTGATTTAAAGATTTTACTTTCTTTTTCATATTTTTAAACATTATCTTGTACCCAACCCCCGCAGTTTTCTCTGTGTGTATGCCACTCCGCTTTTCATAAACTTAATGTTTGCCTTATAACTTTTATTTAAGAGGGATCAGATTGCCCTTTTATCTGGGTGTATTTTCCACTATCCCAATGCCAGATGGCTATTGTTTTTGCCGGAAGGGAGGTGCACTTGCAAAAAGCTTTTAATTTCTGCGAGTTTCAGTCGAAAGAGGGAGGAGCCGGCAGCAAGGAGCAGCAGCTGCCACATGTGCGCATGGAGCATATGGGGCACGGCACATGCCGGGAGCATTCCGGATCTATGGCCATGTACGATATGCGATTGCACTGCCACAAGACTATTTAAAAATTAATACAACTGAAATCCAGCATTTTCGCGCCAGTTAAGCAACAGTGCCGGGCTTTGGGAAAATGAAACTAACGAGAGAATGGGGAAACAGAGACGAAGCTGTATTGCAGGAGTCTGGCCCAGCCTCCCAGATCAAAGGCACCCGGAAAGCGGGAATAAAAGAACGGAGAAAAAAACTTTTTAATACTTTTGGCCAAAAAACGAAGAAAAAAAACACAACGAGCGAGCGAAGAACACTGGGCGCCATCAACTTGGCCTTGCTTCCAGACGCGACTGCAGCAATCATGGGCCTTAAGTTTGCTGGCTACACTGAGAAATGGGTTTAGGAACACTGAAAATTTTTTATAATTTAATTTCCTATAACTTTAATATTTTATATATATTTTTTAAATATTCAGAATGAACTTAACTCTTTTTACATCTTAAAGTAAATTTAAATTCAGAATACAACTATTTCTTTTAGTGCAAAGACGATTTAACTCTGAAAACGAGTGGGTTGAATTTAAATAAGAAAAATTATATGCCAAATTATATGCCCAACTTCCCCTTTTTTGGCAGCTCCGAGCTGAATTACTAGTATCTTCTGGTCTGTTTCAGCTGCCTGATTACATCAAAGTCGCTGCCTACCATTAAACGCTTCACACTTTCCCCTTGCTTAACACCAAATTGAGTTGTAGCCATGAAATTTTTTATTTGCTGCCCATAAAACGGAGGCCAGAAGACAGGTGTAAGCCGCAGCAGTTAAATGGACAAGCGCCAGACATATAAATAAGTGACTGACCAGTTGCCCAAAAATTAAAGGAGCGTCCATAAACTTAAAGTTTAGAGTTCCCTGGGAAGTGGACGTGGACGGGACCTTAAGTGAAAGCCAAATAAAGATGTAGTTGGTTCAGGAGATGATTATTGATGTGAAGTTCACTTCTCTTTACGGGAAAAGGTTAACTTAAAGCCTGAAATTTGAGGTGCGTAAAATGGCAAGGCAAACCTCTATTTTGTGGCTTTCGTTGGCCAAGCAAAATTGGTAATTGTTTGACATCCTAAACAAGCAACGAGAGCCTGTATAAAATGTCAAGAAATTGGTTGGCTTAAAT